CATAAAATCGCAGTGGTGCCTCTGATCTGTGGATCGCCATGGTCGATATAATTCACAATGTCCTTCACGTACTGCTCTTCTAGGAAAACGAATCAGGAATAAAGAAAGAGAAAGCCTGCCCGTCGATGTAAGTTACTCTACGCCAGAATCATCCCAAATCTTTTTTTTAATAAATATTTTATTACTTTTCTATTTTTACAATCAAGTGCTTAATAGACAACGTGATGACTGAGTCTATTAGTAATTCCGTGGTACCTATAAGCTTCTTCAAACTAACTCCAATATTACTCCAATACATTCTCCCTTCTTCTGATAAAAGACATTATCCCACACTAAGCAAACACAATTCTTATTGTTGTTAATAAATACACAGTTGAATATCAGCACTTGTTGCAGTTCTCTAATAGTATCAATAATATCAGTTTAGAATATCTTTTCTAACCAAAACATAACTTAATTGCATTTGCACTCAATTTCCCATTTATTCGGTCTGTATCCTATTTTCGCTTTTTTCGATTTTAATTTCCCATCCATATTCAAAATACCCCAATCATTTATAATTTGAAAAGAAATTCTATTTGGGTAAGCAGAAGCTTCCCTTATTCAAACTTCTTAGCGTATTCTTATTTCCCTTTTCACACCAAGATATGATATTCTGATTACAAATCCTATCTATCTAGTTATAGTAATACTTCTATTTCTAGCAATCTATTCTTAACCATATTCAAGCATCTGATTTAATATAATATCCCCTCTAATAGGTCAAAGCTTCTGTTTTCTTCAGTCTTACTCGAGCTTTCTCCCTTTGCTAACTAACTTTCCGAGTCAGTGCTTTTGGATAATCAAATAATTCTTCCTCTATTTTTGTGTATGTTATTTGGAACAAGAGAAACAATTTAGTTAAAGTATTTTTGGAAGAACTAGCCCAGTGGTGGCGAACCTATGGCATGCGTGCCAGAGGTGGCGCTCAGAGCCCTCTTCAACCAGCCGCCCGCTAACTCGTCGAGGTCCCACATGGCCGGATGCATCCCAGCACTCATGCGCTCGCTGGCCTCTGTGTGCGGGGGCTGATGGTGACAGGCAGCAGCCGCCCCGGCCCCTGCCTCACCTTGCCCTGTGACAATGGCATCCCTGCCCTGCCTCGCCTTGCCTCGCCTCACCCCGCAGGATGAGCCCCACCTGCCAGAAACCCCCTGGATCTCCCCCAACCTTTCCCGGCCCCCACAGGCATCCCTCCCCACGAGCGACATCGAGGTGATCACGCCCACCTTGGCCACACCCACCCAATCTGCCATGACCACCACAGCCACGCCCACCCAGTGTGGGCCACGCCCACCTGGCACCCGGCGATAGATAAGTGGGTTTCGGGTTGCAGTTTGGGCACTCGGTCTCTAAAAGACACAAAACACCTACCCCTTTCTTCTTTGACACTTTCAGCGGGCATTTTGAACAGTTTGCTGAAGAAAGCTTCCGGGTGAAGGGCCACTGCTGCCCCCACACAGCTGATGGCCAAGGCTTTCACGCTGACCCGGACTTCTTTATCCGGCACCAGAGCTAGAAGAGGACGAACAGAAAGTCAGGTCGCTGGGTCAGTATATAAGGATCTGGTTGACCACCCCTTTTTGGGGGGGGCTGAGAAAGCACCACTTTGCAAGCGGCGGAAATATCAATGACATGTTCTATCACTAAGTAATCATTAAATGCCGTCACATTCCAGAAGCAGTTATGAAGGACCAGAGACCATTCCAGAAGCAGTTTTGAAGGACCACCCGGGAGCCACTTTTCAGAAAAAAATAACGTTTTAGGGCCCTGTGGACTCCTTACTCCTGTGGGAAAAAGAGCTTATTGTTTTTACAGAAACTGCAGAAGACATGCTAGCCCAGGGGTCTTCAAACTAGCCCAGGGGTCACCATGAACTCATAGAG